AGTCGGAACTCCGGGCGTGCGCCGAGTGCGGCCGCAGATCGCCGGCTTAGGGTCGCCTTCAGTTGGTGAGACGCGCGCGGTCCGCTCCACTCCAACTCACCCCGAAATCCCCGCGGCTACTAAAGCACCGCTCAGCGCCGCGCACCGCCCCACACCACGGCCAATCGATGACGCCGCGCTCACAGCACCTAGATTTGGCAATAAGGCTGAGTTCGGCGCTCAGGTTTCTGGCCGTTCCTGGAGATTCAGCAGGTCATACCCTTTGCAGGTCCAATAAGGCGGTCTCCCCTCCCGCAACCCCTCCCCAAAGTAATAGTGAACTATCACTGGCATCAGTGGTTTCACATCACAAACGTCTTCCGTGTGGTCGACACTGTATCGATATGCCCAAGTGAAAACCCTGTCCTACTTCACCTGTAACTGGCCAACCTGGTAGCCTGATGAAGCGAGTAAGTAGGTATCTAACTACGGTATTGTGTATCTCTCATGCGGGCCAGCCGCTGCTGCTGAGTCCGTATTTATCGATAATGAGACGCAATCTCCGGCTGCCCTAAAATAAAAAAACACGGCTACAACAAACAGCTCCCTTCTAGCTTCTAGCTCCCTTCTTAAAGACATGTGAATCCCAATTTGGATTCAAGGATGGCCATTCGACATCTCATGCTGTTTATGCATTTAAAGAGACAGTGAACTATTACACAGAGCGAGGCAGTTCGGTGTATGTGTCCTTTTTAGATGCGAGTAAGGCGTTTGACAGAGTGTGTCATGCCACGCTTTTTAAGATACTTGATCAACGAAAAGTTCCCCCAATATATTTGAAACTTCTTATTCACTGGTACGGGCATCAGAGAATGAGTGTCAAATGGGCCAGTAGGGAATCAGTGTCATTCTCCATCCAGAATGGTGTAAGGCAGGGCGGAAACCTCTCCCCATTGCTATTCAATGTATATATTGATGATCTGTTGATTAAGTTGCGTTCTCTTCGAACTGGATGTTTTGTTGGCGATTGTGCCGTCAATGTCATCGCCTATGCGGATGATATAGTGCTTCTATCCCCCACCAGACAAGGGCTTCAGACTCTGGTGGATCAGTGTGAATGTTTTGCTGTGTCCAGAGATATAAGGTTTAATGTGCAAAAAACTGTGTGCATGGTTTTTAACCCTAGGAAGCCTTATAAAGCTAGTCATTTAATGAACTCTAAGGAGCCAAAAATCGCACTGTGTGGTGAGAATCTGAAATGGGTCAGTCAATTTAAATACCTTGGCCATATCATTTCTAATGACTTATGTGATGTGCCCGATATTCGAAGGGTAAAGCGCTCAATGTACTATATGACCAACATGCTTTATGCAAAGCTCAGGCATGCTAATAAGAGTTTACTTATAAAATTATTTAAGTCATACTGTACACATATGTACGGATGTGAACTATGGAATGTTGATACCAATCAGAGATCTCTTCGTGAAATGCATGTAGCGTATCATCGGTGCATTAAAAAGCTTATGAATTTGCCCCTTGGAACCAGAAATCATGAACTGTGTCATCGAGTCAAATTACTTACTTGTCCTATGCTTCTGGCTAAAAGACAGCTCATGTTTCACCGTCGCATCAATCAAAGCAGTAATGGTATTGTCCAGTGTATTAGAAATAGTGTAATAGGCCGTAATGGATTATCTGCGAAAGCTAGCCTCGCAATACGGAGACGCTACGACCTACTAGGCTTGGATTTCAGTGTCATAACTCCATTTGACTTACAAAACATATTTATGTCGAACATTGAGCGTATAGTCAATGAACGCATGATGAGGCGGGACCAAGGCGGGACCACCTAGATGTAATGACTTAGATGCCTGACTTAATGGGTAAAACGTAGCTGTGCTATGTCTGCATGTTCGTGTGTTGTGTTGGTGTGTATTGTTATGTGTTGAATATGTACCGTGAAATATCGGTGCGAAATAAATGGATTATTATTATTATAAACACTGACCCAGTGTACCCCTCGGTACCATACGAAAACAGCCAGTGACCTATTTGCCTAGGGAAAGAACTAAAACTGCAGAAAGTTCCATCTAGAAAAATGTCGGACAGATAACCTGTCATGCACAAGCTTGGATTTCAAACTTTTCCGGGCTGATCTGAGCCTAACCTGGCTCATTCACAAGTTTGGATTGCAATTTGTTTTGCCAGACTTGAGAATGATCTGGACCTAACTTAACACCAGTCGTGAAGTGGCCGTTGCCAGCCCCAGCTGATTCAGCATGCAAAATAGATAATAAAACATAGACGATCCTTATGTGGTTGTTTTGGTATTACGACTCCGAGTTATCAGTGATCTGATCTTTGAGGCGTGATGATGACGATTTAACGGCGACAACTTCATAACTTAAACTCAGCTTGATGTATTCTACTTTTACAACATCTATACTACTATTTGAACAGGATCCATCTGTCTGTCTGTCTGTTTGTCCGCCACGCCGTGTAGTGGGTTCAATTTAGCCGGCCTACAGGGCAGACGGTATATCGTAGGGGGTTGAAATTTGCACACCTTATAGGTGACAAAGCGGGTCAGCGCCTTTTCTAGGTTTCCACTCGCTGGGGTGCACGGTTTGCGCGTGGGGCGCGCTGGAAGAACGCCAATGAAATTTTCATCGGTTCGTATATCTTCATTGAGAGCCGGGGTCGACAAACTTTGTGGACTAAATGCATGCCGATCGGTGGCGGGTGCCTCGCATTGGCGGATGGGCAGGTTTTAATTTGAATAAATAGTGTCGAGAGAATGTGTAGATTTTCGTTGAATGGCAACAGTTTGTGATACGAGTTTACAAATGCACCGCGTTTGCCGCAATGCGCCACAATTATCTCAGGGCGTCATTTTCGCCGCAACTCGCACAGTTTTGTCAAATATAGTCCGATATGGGTGTAATTTGGTGTCAAGATGCATGCTCAAACAACAGGTACAGATGCGCCGCATTTGCCGCAATGCGCCACATTTGCCACAAAGCGCCATTTCCGACAAAATCGAGTAAGGGCAATGGAATGGCACGAATTATTCTGTGACCTGACATGACCCAGCGGTGTTGGTAGGAGTAGGGGTAGGGGTAGTGGTAGGGGTAGTGGTAGGGGTAGTGGTAGGGGTAGTGTAGTGGTAAGGGTAGTGGTAGGGGTAGTGGTAGGGGTAGTGGTAGGGGTAGTGGTATGGGTAGTAGTAGTGGTAGGGGTAGATGTAGTGGTAGGGGTAGGGGTAGGGGTAGTGGTAGGGGTAGTGGTAGGGGTAGTGGTAGGGGACAGGGGTAGGGGTAGGGGTAGTGGTAGGGTAGGGGTAGTGGTAGGGGTAGTGGTAGGGGTAGGGGTAGTGGTGGAGACAAAAGCAAAAAAGTGGCCCGGGCTGATCCCAGCGGACGAGAGGTGACCTATGTGACCTGGCCTGACCCAAAGTGACCGGGGCTGACCCCTTTGACCCGTCTTGACCCCGTATCACCCAAATTTCATCCAACAACGCCCTCAGAACAGTTCTTTTTTAAATTCTCTTCACATTTCCGTCCATATCTATGCTTCTAGACGACACATCGACATGAATCAAACACCATTCGAAAGCAAATTGGCTGGTGCCGCAATTTTTCCTACCACGCAGCAAAGCAAGTGGCGCAGCCGCTTGTCTATATTACTATTTGTGGTGACGTAGTTTCTGTCTATTACAAAGGTCGCGACATGGTGCTACGTAGCGCGGGTTACAGGTCACACCGTTGCACCTACCGCGCTGAAGTTTGCGCAACTCATAGAACAAGGATGGACAACGTGCCTTTGATGGGTCTCAGCTCGATCGGATCAATAGCGAGCGCGTGGCGCGTGCCCAAAAAGTGCAAATTCGCGTCATAGACTTTACATGTATTAATCGGCTGGCAAAAACGGGCGAAAACAGCCAAATTTGCCCGACACGGGTCCGGTCCCGGTGCAATATCTCGGTAACCGTGGGCCCGACCGGTACGGGGAAAACAGCATCGTGTAGAGAATCGAACGAGCTATCGAATGGTGTGCGGTGCAGGGGTTGGCACGCGCCACGTGCACCGGGGAGGACACTTTCTTTTGAAAAATGGACGTTTTGGACGGATTTTGGAATTTATATTAATTTCAGGTGATCGTCAGACGGAATGAGTTGAAACAGCGCCTATTAGCAATAAAAATGTACCGTCTCTCATGGAAAAATTGTGAAAAGCTAATTGATAAAAAACAATGTGGAAAAAATCGCTGAATTAAATGGTATTTGTCCAAAATGTGCCACTAAATAATTACACGGATTTTGCTGCTTAACCTGATACGTTTGACAATTGAAAATGCTATCATTGGAAAGAGCATTCAATTCTCTCCAAGATCCAATCATCACGTTTGCATGACAAGCAACAGTATTCTTAAAAATATAAATGTTTCAAACCTCTGCAAAACGATTTTTAGTGAAAATTATCTACGCCTTTAATTTGTCATAAAACTACGCGCCTAAATTATAAAGCACATTTGACAGATTCTGAAGTGGAAAGCATGCTTATCAGACACGGGCACCTCGATGCGGTGGATATTTTTTCCACAAACCAAAACGTTTAGCCGTCAAAAAGCAATCGACCGAAATGGATAGATAACCCAACCGACACAAGAACAACCGAACACCCGCCGATCGAAAATATCCCTTTTCGCGTTGCGGAGCACGCGGGTCACCCTAGTTTCTACTAAAACAGAGACATCAGCGTATCAATCACAATCACACAGGCACATCCGAAAGCAGCGCTCTGAAACATGAAGCCGCATTTGGCGGTGCTCTACCCCTCGGCGTGTGAATTGGTACAAATGGTCGCGGCGCTCCATGGGATCAGGATCAGAGGCCGCCCTGTCGGTAGCGTTACCCCCCGTGAGGCAGCGCGTGGGCGCCGGCCGGGGGCGTTCCCCAGTGGGGCGCCGGCCGGGGGGCGCCCCGGATATGACCCACGGGCCGCGAGGCGCCCCAGACTCACCGAGCATCCCGATGGGGAAACTGTCGGGCGCCACTGCCGTGCTGCCCTGCACGCTCTGCGTCACGATCCACACGTAGTTCTTCCCTGGAGGTGGGAACAACCACCGGTGTCATGAACATAACCGGGTAGGAACAGGCTGGCTAAGTTGGTAATTTCGGCAACTTGGAATAACTGCAAAATATATTTTTGAAAGTGCGAGCGGAGTAAGCAAGTAAGAAGTTAAAATTCTCGTTATCTTGAGCAAAGCAGTCAAATACTAACACAAAAGCGGTACCACAAGAAGTATGTATTTGGAAAAATGCACAACCGTTCGCGTTGGTAGGTTCGCTTTGGGACATCTTATGGCAGCTTTCCAACACTCCATCCCGAGGCGAGGCATTCAGAGCGCATGAACACCAGTTTGAACAGCTTGAACTGCCACGATATGACTGTCACAATATGACTGTCACATAATGACTGTCACAATATGACTGTCACAATATGACTGTCACAATATCACTGTCACAATATCACTGTCACAATATGACTGCCCCATTATGATTGTCAAAATATGACTGTTACGTTATGAGTACGGTGTGCTAAGCAAGGACATCTACCTTTTTGCAATAGCACATTAATAACATTTTGCCTTCCAGTTGTGTTGACGGCGGCGGGGTGTCGTGTGTGTATGATGTATAGCGGGACCCGAGTGACCCCAACCTGTCAGCGGTGACTGACATCTGTCAGTGGTGACTGTCACCTGTCAGTCCGCTGGACGATGGCAGTGGCGACTGTCAGCTGTCAGCGGTGACTGTCAGCGGTGACTGTTACCTGTCAGTCCGCTGGCGGTGGTGACAGTTACCTGTCAGTCCGCTGGCGGTGGTGACTGTCACCTGTCAGCCCGCTGGCGGTGGTGACAGTTTGTCAGTCCGCTGGCGGTGGTGACTGTCACCTGTCAGTCCGCTGGCGGTGGTGACAGTTACCTGTCAGTCCGCTGGCGGTGGTGACAGTTACCTGTCAGTCCGCTGGCGGTGGTGACTGTTACCTGTCAGTCCGCTGGCGGTGGTGACAGTTACCTGTCAGTCCGCTGGCGGTGGTGACTGTCACCTGTCAGTCCGCTGGCGGTGGTGACAGTTTGTCAGTCCGCTGGCGGTGGTGACTGTCACCTGTCAGTCCGCTGGCGGTGGTGACTGTCAGCGGTGACAGTTACCTGTCAGTCCGCTGGCGGTGGTGACTGTCACCTGTCAGTCCGCTGGCGGTGGTGACTGTCAGCGGTGACAGTTACCTGTCAGTCCGCTGGCGGTGGCAGCGGTGACTGTTACCTGTCAGTCCGCTGGCGGTGGTGACTGTTACCTGTCAGTCCGCTGGCGGTGCCCAGTAAACATGACGACGTCGGCCCAACGTCGGTTCAACCTCGGCCCGACATCGGCTGGACGTCGGATATGCCCGCATGTTCCGACGTCCAGCCGAAGTCCAACCGACGTCGAGCCGACGTCGAGCCGAGATCGTTTGCCGAGGTTGACGAGATCGTTTGTCGTTGAACCGACGGGGCCGACGTCGGCATGTTTATTGCGACAACGCGCCAAAAATATCAACCGGCGGCGGGATTCGAGCCCCCCAGTCGCCGACGTCGGCATGTTTACTGGGACAACACGCCAAAAGCATCAGCCGGCGATGGGATTCGAACCCAGTGTCATTCGAACGCGAGGTTAGTGCGCTAACCACTACACCACGCAGCCAGCTAACGAATTTGGTTTGTTTTGTTCCGTTATGCCCTTTTGGTCTGACAAGACCATTTCAGAGCCGGAAGGATCATAGGATGGAGACATTGGTCTTTTTGGCGAGCACCCTGGGTCCAGTTCATATAGAGTCCCTGGTCCCATTGCTGTTACGTGACGCTTATTGGAAAGGGCGACCCCACAATGGATTTATATAGCCACTCTTAGGGGAAGGTGGGGTAAGACGGCCCAGCGGGGCAAGACGGACCACCAGCCCTCCCGGCTGAACCGCTGCTGGTATCTACTGCTTTATGCACTCACTATGTTTGTTTTCCTTCGTAACAATGGCCACCTTGAGCTCATGCTGCTAGGATGCATAGCTTTTGAGTTATTGAGAAAAATGTTGTTTTTCGTCAAACCGATCTAATATAAGAGGTCTACGGGTGATTCAATTACGGCGCCTTTCTGGCATGATTAGTTTCTATTTTGCACTTAACTGTGTAGAACAAAGTTATAAACTTAGTTATAGTCACACTTTAGGAAAGGCAAGGTTTTGCAATGTTGGGCTATTTGACATATACGTCATGATAATGACAGAATTTAGATTTGGGGCAAGACGGACCACTGTGTTCCATCTTACCCTGTGGTGGTCCATTATACCCTGCATATGGAAAGTTCTTTCCCAAAACATTGACACAAGCTTAAGTAAGCAAATTTTTCAGGAAGGAGTCTTTGTTGCATGTGAGCCATGCATGCAAGTGTTCAGTTAGCATGCATTCATGCCAAACGACAATCAACACACATGTTCCCAGCTTTTAGCTGCACTTCCAACACACATGAGTAAAGAATAAAGGCTCATTTTGTTATTTTACCATTCTGGTTACTTTTTCTTACAAGAGTAGAGAGCAGAAGTGTAACACACATGAACGGAAAGCAGGCACTGCTGGGTGGTCCGTCTTACCCCACGTTTTTTCTTGTTTGAGTTTTTGACATGTCCCTCTTTAAGAGCATCCACCACCTAGATGTCTTTAATTTGAAATTTAGTCTTTACACATATCAACAGAGGAAGGATTGAGCATTCCGAAGATTATAAATAATATGAATTACGAGAGCAGTGTAGCAAGATATGCGGCCTCAAACCTTAGCTGGTCCGTCTTACCCCACCTTCCCCTACACACCTGCACCAACGTTTCCCAAAGTGTCCCTTTGACAAGTGGCACTTTGGCAAAGTGACACTTGCCGACTGGCCTTTCTATATGAACTGGGCCCGGCCCTGGTGAGTTGCCGGGGCTGAGCCTGACCAAAGGATAGGTCGAGCAGCCCCCAAGCACTCACCGCACCCGGCTACGGGCGAGCTCGGCTTACGGGCAATCCCAAATGGGATAAAGTTTCCCGTCCAGTCCGGATCAGGGGGTTGCGGCGTGGAGGAAGATTTGAGTTTCCTGAGGATATTTTGAATACAGGAGCTCTTTATGAAACATGAAACATGTATTTTATATTATTTTAACGGTCAAAACAGCGGCCGATGTCGGTCCGACGTCGGCCCGACGTCGGCTGGACCTCAGCAATTGATCTCGGTCCGACGTCGGCCCGACGTCGGCTGGACCTCGGCTGGACGTCGGAACATGCGGGCATATCCGACATCCAGCCGACGTCGTTCCGAGGTTGGACCGACGTCGGGCCGACGTCGGCATGCCGATGCCGAGTTGCCGACGTCACCCCGACGTCGGCCGACGTCGGGCCGACGTCGGCAGGTATACTGGGTGGTGACTGTTACCTGTCAGTGGTGACTGTTACCTGTCAGTCCGCTGGCGGTGGCAGTGGTGACAGTTACCTGTCAGTCCGCTGGCGGTGGCAGTGGTGACAGTTACCTGTCAGTCCGCTGGCGGTGGTGACAGTTACCTGTCAGTCCGCTGGCGGTGGCGGTGGTGACTGTTACCTGTCAGTCCGCTGGCGGTGGTGACAGTTACCTGTCAGTCCGCTGGCGGTGGCAGCGGTGACAGTCACCTGTCCGTGGTGACTGTTACCTGTCAGTACGCTGTCAGTGGTGACTGTTACCTGTCAGTCCGCTGTCAGTGGTGACTGTTACCTGTCAGTCCGCTGGCGGTGGCAGTGGTGACAGTCACCTGTCAGTCCGCTGGCGGTGGTGACTGTCAGCGGTGACTGTTACCTGTCAGTCCGCTGGCGGTGGCAGTGGTGACAGTCACCTGTCAGTCCGCTGGCGGTGGTGACTGTTACGTGTCAGTGGTGACAGTTACCTGTCAGTCCGCTGTCAGTGGTGACAGTTACCTGTCAGTCCGCTGGGCGCTGTCAGTGGTGACAGTTACCTGTCGGTCCGCTGGCGGTGGTGACAGTTACCTGTTAGTCCGCTGGCGGTGGCAGTGGTGACAGTCACCTGTCAGTCCGCTGGCGGTGGTGACTGTTACCTGTCAGTCCGCTGTCAGTGGTGACAGTTACCTGTCAGTCCGCTGGGCGCTGTCAGTGGTGACAGTTACCTGTCGGTCCGCTGGCGGTGGTGACAGTTACCTGTTAGTCCGCTGGCGGTGGTGACAGTTACCTGTCAGTCCGCTGGCGGTGGTGACTGTTACCTGTCAGTCCGCTGGCGGTGGCCTGCCGCAGGATCTCCTTGGCCTCGTCGCGGGTCGAGTAGAGCAGGATGATGCGCGCGTCCGACTGACTGAGCTCGGACAGGTCGGCCTCCTGACTGGACACCGTCAGCGTGCCGATGATGGTGAACCTGCCGCACAGACAGTCAGGAGCTGACAGAGAACTGCCGCACAGACACTGAGACTGACAGAGAACTGCCGCACAGACAGCCAGGAGCTGACGGAGAGCTGCCGCACAGACAGCCAGGAGATGATGGTGAACCTGTCGCACAGACAGCCAGGAGCTGACGGAGAACAGCCGCACAGACCGCCAGGAGCTGACGGAGAACTGCCGCACAGACAGCCAGGAGCTGACGGAGAACAGCCGCACAGACAGCCAGGAGCTGACGGAGAACAGCCGCACAGACAGCCAGGAGCTGACGGAGAACAGCCGCACAGACGGCCAGGAGCTGACGGAGAGCTGCCGCACAGACACTGAGACTGACAGAGAACTGCCGCAGAACAGCCGCACAGACCGCCAGGAGCTGACGGAGAACAGCCGCACAGACAGCCAGGAGCTGACGGAGAACTGCCGCACAGACAGCCAGGAGCTGACGGAGAACTGCCGCACAGACCGCCAGGAGCTGACGGAGAACTGACGCACAGACACTGAGACTGAGAGAACTGCCGCGCAGACAGCCAGGAGCTGACGGAGAACTGCCGCACAGACAGCCAGGAGCTGACGGAGAACTGCCGCACAGACACCGAGATTGACGGAGAACTGCCGCACAGACACTGAGACTGACAGAGAACTGCCGCACAGACACTGAGACTGACAGAGAACTGCCGCACAGACACTGAGACTGACAGAGAACTGCCGCACAGACACTGAGACTGAGAGAGAACCAGCGGCGTATTTAGAAAATCGCGAAGGGGGGGGGCCAAGGGTTTGGAGGGCGCCACCTCACCCAAGGAGGGCGCCATACGGTCGCGAGATAAAAAATCACTCAACGGGGGGGGGGGGGGGTTGGGAGGCGTTTTTTACCATGCCACCAGTTTTTTTTTTGCGTAACCTCGTATAGGTCGTGCTGCATTGATTTTGCATCGTGTGTATTCTTTATACTCCAGGTCACAAAAGGTCAAGTGGTCTTGAAATGCTGCGCCGAAGGCGCGCGAAATTTTTGAAAACAACCTTTTCCTCCGCTTTTTAGGCACGCCTTTTATACGATCACTGTTCAAAGCTCCTCTCGCTCTTTTACCAAATTTGAAGGTATAAAAAATACCTAAGGTTTGGTCGGGCCGCTGCCACACAAACTGTATAGAAAGCTTGGCTCATGGGTGTCGATGTATAAAAGTTTATTGGCGGTGGCATATCTACGCACCAGATCACCGTATCGGATTGATACCGGAGCGCGAGATGCGTAAACATCATCCAAATTACCTCAGACCAGCCTTCATAGCCTTCTCACAGGTGCATACAGTGTACCCACATAACCAGTTTCAATCACCGAAACTTCAGATGCCTGCTGTTGCGGCCGAACCTGTTGACAATACTTAATCGTAATACATATAGATGCCATGATGCACGTAAAGTAGGATCAATCCGTTAAGACCAAAGACGTGTTTTATGCATCGTAGAGCGTAGATAGTTTTGGTAGGTATAGGTACTTCATTCATTGTGCTGAATGCACGTTCATTTGTGGCAGTTTTCACAGGCAAGACATCAACTACCTATGTGCAATAGAACGACTAAGTTGAAGAACATGCCAAAGGAGTAAATAAATGATAGGAGGGCAGCGATCAACGGATGTTGCCAATAGGTAGAAGGGCTGCGATCCACAGGAGGGCGCTAATAGGTAGAAGAGCCCCGATCAACATCCCGAGTTTCGACAGTAGGGCACCGATAGGTAGGAAGTTGGCGAGCAGCAGGAGGGCGCCAATGGATAGAAGGGCAGCGATCAACAGGAGGGCACCAATAGGTAGGAGGGCCCCGATCAACAATCAACAGGAGGGCGCCACCAGGTAAGAGGGTGGCGAGGAACAGGAGAGCACCAATAGGAGGGTGGCGATCAACAAGAGGTCGCCAATAGGTGGGAGGGCGGTCATCAACTGCAAGTCGCCAATGAGCGGAAGGGTGACGATTAAAATGGGGGTGGCAATGGTGAGGAGGGCGCCTTTGCTCAAGAGGATGACACGAACAGGACGGCGTCTGTGCGGAGGGCGCTGGTCAACAGGAAGGTGCCAGTAGATAGGAGGGCGGTGATCAACAGGAGGGTGCCAGTGGTTAGGAGGGCGGCGATCAACACGAGGGCGCCAATAGGAGAAGGGCCCCGATTAGCATTCAACAGGAAGGACTAGGGAACCAATAGGTAGGAGGGCGGCACTGAGCAAGAGGGTGCCAAAAGGGAGAAAGGCGGCCTTCAAAATTTCACATGAGGGCGCAATAGGTAGAAGAGCGCCAATAATTATGAGGACGCCGATCAGCAGAAGGGCGGCAATGTGTAGCAGGGTGGCGACCTACAGGAGGGCGCCTTCGGGTGAGAGGGCGCTTATTTACAGGACAGCGGCTTACATAGGCGACCACCGTTACGCTTAGAGAGCTACAGCCTACAAATGTGGTTGGAGGGCGCCCGAGGGAGCCCTCCAACCGTATTTGGAGGGCGTATTTGGAATGGGCGTCCTCCGAGGGCGCCCTCCATCCGTATTTTCCCTGTAAACACATTCGCGATTGGAGGGCGCCCTCCAGTCGCGATTGTTTTTCGATTCTATTACATCACAATTGCATTTGCGATTGGAGGGCGCCTTCGGCGCCCTCCAATCGCAAAGGGCGCCTTCGGCGCCCAAGGGGGGGGCCATGGCCCAGTGGCCCCCCCCCCTGCCTACGCCCCTGGAGAGAACTGCCGCACAGACAGCCAGGAGCTGACGGAGAGCTGCCGCACAGACAGCCAGGAGCTGACGGAGAACTGCCGCACAGACAGGCAGGAGCTGACGGAGCTGCCGCACAAACACTGAGACGGAGAGAACTGCCGCACAGACAGCCAGGAGCTGACGGAGAACTGCCGCACAGACACTGAGACTGAGAGAGAACTGCCGCACAGACACTGAGACTGAGAGAGAACTGCCGCACAGACCGACAGGAGCTGACGGAGCTGCCGCACAGACAGCCAGTAGCTGACGGAGAACTGCCGCACAGACAGTGAGACGGAGAGAACTGCCGCACAGACAGTGAGACTGACAGAACTGCACAGATACTGAGACTGACGGAGCTGCCGCCACGGTTCGTCGGAAGGTCATCTCAGGCTCAAAAGAAACGATATATACCATTCGAAAGCTGGCGGTGAGCTGAATCCAAAAATGTAATTCTTATCAAAATCGATCGATGGCCTTTTTTGAAAATTGCGTTTTTGTAAAAACTTTATAATCTTTTATTCAACGGGCTGTCCCGGACATTCTTGAAAACATAAACATGTATTTTTTAGTTCCAATGAAAGCTGAACGCCAAAAGAACAATATTTAGCGAAGCAATATTTCCAAACATTAATATGCGTCTCCCACAGCCAACAATAAGGCGCAATCACACAGCCCAGTGTCACGATGGACCAAAGTCAGCCACACAGAAGCGTGAAATGACCCTTATCGACTCGCAGACTCGGCGCTCTCGGCCCGCCCGACCAGCCACGGAAAGAACGTTCGGCTCTCGTTCTACTAACCAAATGTCATATTTGTCAGTTTAACTGTCCACATCGCCAGTAAAGTTATTCAGGATACCTGTGAAGAAAATTCATTGTTCTGCTAGATTTACAACATGCTTTAATTTACCTATTTCTTTTACATGTTTTGTTCCATCCAGCTGCGCTCAGTGCCCGCGCAGGGGAAGTTAACGGGGTTTCACTGTCAGAGGCTGTACTGGTGACAGCTGCTCGGCCGTGCGACCGGTCAAAGGTTACCCTACCCCACCGGGCGCTACCCCCACTCCACCCGAGCTGAGGCCGGTTCAACCTCTGACATTTCAGCGCGGCCAATTTTCCTTATATGGGCATGATACCAAGCTCAATTGAGCAAAGAAGACACGAACAAATGCAAATTAATGTATGATGTGAAGATGACAGAACAATGAATTTTCTTCACAGGTATCCTGAATAACTTTACTGGCGATGTGGACAGTTAAACTGACAAATATGACATTTGGTTAGTAGAACGAGAGCCGAACGTTCTTTCCGTGGCCGGTCAGGCGGGCCGAGAGCGCCGGGTCTGCGAGTCGATAAGGGTCATTTCACGCTTCTGTGTGGCTGACTTTGGTCCATCGTAACACAGGGCTGTGTGATTACGCCTTATTGTCGGCTGTGGGAGACGCATATTAATGTTTGGAAATATTGCTTCGCTAAATATTGTTCTTTTGGTGTTCAGCTTTCATTGGAACTATAAAATACATGTTTATGTTTTCAAGAATATCCGGGACAGCCCGTTGAATAAAAGATTATAAAGTTTTTACAAAAACGCAATTTTCAAAAAAGGCCATCGATCGATTTTGATAAAAATTACATTTTTGGATTCAGCTCACCGTCAGCTTTCGAATGGTATATACCGTTTCTTTTGAGCCTGAGATGACCTTCCGACGAACCGTGCCGCACAGACACTGAGACTGAGAGAACTGCCGCACCGACACTGAGACTGACAGAACTGCACAGATACTGAGACTGAGAGAACTGCCGCACAGACAGTGAGACTGACAGAACTGCACAGACACTGGCACCTGCAGCGGACCGGCCGAGCGCCGACCGCCGGCCGACGCCGAGCTCCGAGCTCCGAGCTCCGAGCTCCGAGCTCTGAGCTCCCGGGTCGCCGGCAATGAGCAGACCGCGCTCCTTTTTGGTCGGCAACGGTCTGTTTGACTGCGGTCAACAGCCCCGGTATGGATGCTCGGGGAAACCACGCGGCACTCGAGTGCGCAAAAGATGACGCTTGAGTAGGTACCGTGAGTTCCTACTCCCACTCGAAGGCATTATTGGGAATCATACTCTGGGTCTTAGGTAGATATAGCTACTGAAAAGTTTTACACTACATCTGATCACCCGAATACATATACTGCTTAAAGGTAGTGTGCCACCTTTGAAAGATTTCCCATTTTATTTTTCCTAGTATAAGAAGCTTC